CTTGTCACTCTTTCCCAAGCATGTTTAGACTGAAATTCCTGTTAATGCTTATTTGCAAGAATCCTCTTGTCCGTTTGTTCTTTTTTGCGTTTGTTTTTGTTTTGCACAGCTTGACAGTCTTCTCACTTTCATGAACTGTACCTGTGATCTGCTCACTTGCAGGGAGTGAGCAGATCACTCCAGTCCTGTAATTAAATGAATGTTGTATGTAAAGAATTTAAATGTGACTTGTGACCCACATTCCAGTTTTATCTTGATCTACAATTATGAACTAATGCTATGCATAATATTTATAGTGAAAATATCTTGTAGGTTTAATTCATTTCAAAGGAAAGACGAAGTTGAGCACCTTGAATGTGCAAACTCTGGTCTTGATCTAAAATAAAACATTACAAATCAAAATGACTGAGGCATTTGTACCTATTTATATCAGGATTTTATGTCTGATGAAATGTGGAATCATTCAAATTAAAAAACAAAAAACCGCTTTGTACTTATGCACATTATTATTATTTAACTCTAAAGTTCACAATATAATTTATTTGACTACCATAAAATTATTTTTGTAAATTGATTATAAAATATAATATGTGAACACCTTTGTGAGTAATTTCGTTTCTTTTTTTAACAAGATCTATTTATCTATCTATAATAATTTCATGCAATACATTTAATAACTAAAATGTTTATTATAGAACATCATTACAAAAACATTAAATTAAAATTACAGATGAGTAGCTTGCATTTTATCCTCAGAAACAGAAAAATAAGTTTTGTGAATTTTATAGTTTTTTTTTATGTAATTACATTGCCTGGAGCATAAGAAACAAATGGAGAAAAACATTTTTGAAAAAAAGATATTTTATTCATATTTTATTATATGTCCTTTGTAGAGGACGCCAGGACTAAGTTATTAAAAAAAAAAATAAAAATAGACATGAAAAGGCATTTATAGGCAAAAACAATGTTTTATTTTTTCATTCACCAATCAGTTTTTAGGTTTCAGGCTATTTTTAGCCAAACTAAGATATAACAGAATGATTTGATATACTACTGTACTTTATGCAATATGTGCGTAAAATGTCCATAAATTCGTATTCCCATTCTATACAATGTATCTATAAATTGCATCTAATTTGCATATTAATGTGTTCTTGGGGCAAACCATAATGAAAAAGAAGTGTAATAATGGGAGTAATAACTTGGCAACATTTTCATAAGAATATCTCATATTTCATTTGAATATTGATATCTATCTATAATATTTTTCCCTATTGACTTGTTGTGTCTCCCCAAAATGCCTGATTAACATGATGTTTGTCCTGGTGTCCAATACGTGTATGAAAAATATGCCCTTTTTCGTAACAAAAAGTCCTATTTTGATTTGAAACCCCATAACATTTTCCTGAGATGTTGATTTATGACAAACAATATGAACATTAGTCCGACTTAAATGATCATTACAAAATATTATCATGAAATAAGGGTGTTTGATCACTAAATTAAAAACTCCATAGCTGGGAGTCAGATACATGTGAGTGCAAAGTGATTTTAAATAGTGCACTGGATGGATGTTAGTTCACTTTTCATATATATATTTTTCGTGCAAAGAAATGCATACTGCATAAAGTGTAAATTCCAATTGCAAGATAGTAAAAATCAGACTTAAATTTCTCATTACAAAATATTATCATATTTCCATAAGGGTGTTACATTTGATCATTCTGTCAATATCAGTCATATTTAAAGACCAAGTAGAGGGAGTGTTTATGATCAAACCTCCAAACATTTCATATCTCTAAAAAGCCCTGAATGTGCTCCGTACAGGACATCCAGACTTAAAACTGTGGCATTTAAGGTCTCAGAGAAATTCACTAAAATATAATGTCCTCTTCAGAGCACAAAAGTCTATGCCTGGGTCCCAGGAGGATAATGTTACAGGCTACAGCTTCTTTTTAAGTCTCTAGATAGAAACTAAAGAGAAGCCGGCACAAAATGGACAGGAAACATTCGTTGCTATTTATCAAAGACTTTAGATTACTGGAATCTGGCGTTCTCTAGTGGACATTAAAAACAACTCTGACTGACAGGATGCAATATTTGGGCACCTCGAGGGGGCGCTTGGCTGTCAAACAGAATATTAGACTCGCATTCAAATCTAAGGATTTTTGGTGACTGAACTCTACATTCTATAAAATGTATTAATAGCAATTATTGTTAAATGACATGCAAATAAATATTTATGAAATGTTTAAAAAAAAATCCACTCATCTAATCACAAACAGCTGCGACTGGTGACAGATGCCAAGTGACCGTGCTTTTATTTACTACTTAATCATAGGCCTGAACAATATTTTTTCTGAATAATTGAATAATTTTTAGTGGTATTTGAATTCATTTGAATTAATAGAATTTTAATTAATTAAATAAAAAATGTCAGCAAGAGGAAGTATTTAATCCCGCCCATATTAAGTCGCTCGTTCTGATTGGTCATGGTCACTTTTCTATCAAGGAAGTGACAACACGAGCAACATAGATCCTGTAAAATGGAACCGGAATGCGTCACTGGCCTATGCTGTTGGTATTTGGACCCTGCGTGGCTACGCATATTACAAATACACGCTGGGAAGCGACAAAGGTGAATTATAATAGGACTTTAGAGCATTATAATTCCGCCGAAAGTATTCAATTAATTTACATGACATTTTGACTTAAAATGTATCATAGCAGCTGAAAAAAATCACTGTGGAAATTTGTATACTAAATAAATGACCATTTTTGTCATAATTTCAAAACTGCATGTAATGTATTATTGCACATTAATGTACTGTTTTTGTTTGTTTGTTTTGTTTCATTTTGTTTTTAGTTGAAAAGGTCGACTAAAGGATATATGAAACAAAACACACTCGAACCACAATTATCTATAAGGAGGATTCTGTGCCATACACCACAATGCTTTTAAACTTCTTCAAAGCTACATCTGGGAGTTCCCAAGAGAGTGAAAAACAAGAAGAAGAGAAATGAGTTGACTGCTTGTTTGTTTGTTTGTTTGTTTTTCTGACAAAAAGATTAACTGTCATATTTTAAAGGGGTCATATGATGCGATTTCAATTTTTCCTTTCTCTTTGGAGTGTTACAAGCTCTTGGTGCATAAAGAAGATCTGTAAAGTTGCAAAGACTAAAGTCTCAAATCCAAAGAGATATTCTTTATAAAAGTTAAGAGTCAACCACGCCTACCTAAAACGCCTCGTTCTAACACGCCCTCACATGTCTACATCACTATGTGGGAAGATTTGCATAACGCCGCCCAAATGTTCACGCAAAGAAAGAAGGTGTAACTTTTATTCTCGCTGTTGTATTGTTGCTGCTGCCGCCATGTCGTGGAGACGCTGTGCTTCGTTGTGAAAGCGAAACTACTTTGTTTGGTCTTCCAAAAGAGGACACGACTAGAAGTCAGTGGTTAAGTTGTATTTACAACACTGTTCCAGAACA